TGTGGTTATGGTTGTTGTTGAGGTTGAGGTTGAGGTTGAGGATGAGGATGAGGTCTTTTTCCTCTACCATCTTCATCACTACTACCAATATCCAATGTCTTTTTAAAAATTTTTCCAATTAAACCCTACAAATACAATTAAAGATTTAAAATTCACAATTAAAGATTTAAACATAATACAAGTGAACAATAGTTAGCTAATTAGGTTTTCAATTTGAACAAATAAATTAAAGTAAATCATTAAATATTAAATCATAAAACATTAAAGATGGAAAATTAAATATTATTTGTTTCATATTCCGTAAGTAAGCCAATAACAAAATGAGTGAATAAGCTTTGCCAAGAAAAATTATGGTGAAGTAGGAGGCAGCGGCAGTAAAAGGACGATCACATGAACAACAAAAACATATAAATTTCTTTTTACTCTAGTATCCTTCGTAATTTAGGTGCTAACAAAACAAAAACACATATTTTTTAATAAATGGGCTAAGTTATTCAAATTAATGAGCTTTGGCCTATGAGCTTCTATTTTAAGTATAATATGACGGTTGGTTAAAAAGCATATCAACTTTGTAATTATACATATATAAAATACTATTTCTATGGAAAAATTGAGGGGTATCACGTGCTATCGCTGCCAATTAATTACTTTCGCTCATGTAAGCTCGGCTCGTTTTGAGTTCTATGGCACGGAGCTTGAGATCGACTCGTGAAGAATTATACAGACATAGGCTCAGGTTGGGTTCGACTCGTATGTTGTATACCCAATTACTTTTTATATATATATATATATATATATATATATATATATATATATATATATATATATATAAACTCGTTTATGCTCACAACCTAATAGAGCTTAATAACATAGGCTTGAGCTCAAGCTCGTTGAATAAAAAGCCTAATATTAAGTTTGAGTTTGTTTAAAATTGATCTTGAATCGAACTTTTAACGAGTCGATCCCAACTATCTAGACTTGTTTGCACCCCTACTCCTTGTCATCTCTAAGCTAGGATTTATCACCATAATTGGGACACGACTTGCTTCTAGTTGCATAACTCCTATTTAGGCTCGACTCATCATCATTTTTAGACTTAATTTGCCATGCTATTCTTAAGTAACTTGTAGCTTATGTTGGGACACTTGAAAAAAATGTTTGTTGTATTTCTAAAAGGCTCACATTGAACCTGCATTTGCATTTGGTATGAAATGAATCATAGAGCACTAGCAATATTTTTAACTATTCGATTTTAACTTTAACATCTTTTATGAAATTCTGTACCTCAACCGCTAGACTTTGATCCTAAGGAAATGTTACTTTGATCCTAGGGAAATGTTGTAGTACTTGTATGTGGCTTTGTAAGCTCCTTGTTTTGTGATTGCATGCTTAATTACAACTTTTTTAAAATAATTCTTTAAATATTTGTCCATAACAACTCTCTTTAAGTGTTAATTGTTATTATGTATGTTAATATAATGAACTTAATTTAATCTTTATGATTATGTCCGCTTTAGATATCTTAAACACCGCTTTATAGAATTGTGTGTATGTGTGGTTGAGTGGGTGTGTGTGCACCGCCCCTTGACACTCTATATCAGTCGCAACCCCCTTACCTCCACAAGTATACACTCTGCACCAAGCCACCAACAAACTTGCATTAGATCAAATATGATCCCCTATGAAACTAGTATAAATCCAATTACACTTAAATAGCACGTAACACTAGAATCACCAACAATTTTAAAAGAACCCTAAATAAAAATCGTTACATATACTTAAACAAGAGAAATGTTGATTGAGGTAAACGTAAGTTGCATGAAACCAAATTGCAAGTTAAATGGGTCTATCCAAATAACAAGTAATGAAAGTCTAGTGAAATAATTACAACCCAAGTTTCATTGTTCTTCTACAAATTCACAATGAGTTTGGGCAACCGTAAGTCCATAACAAACGAACAATGAAGACTACCCGTTAAGAGGCGAGAGTACATATCCAAACAAAATGGAATCAAACAGTCGAATATAGAAATTTAGGCCAAAAGGATTAAATAAGTAAAACGATATAATGAGTTAATGACTTGTATCTTATACATGCAAGCTATACAAGATTCTCATAAGCAAAATCCAAACGATTAACCAAAAAGTAAACAAAGATTCCATTCATAACAATGGCAGAAAACAACATCCTTTTGATCATTTTCAGTAATGCAAAACTAGTTTGAAAAATAACACCACAATTTCATCTTCTCACCAAGTATCAAAATCTTCATCTCTTTACATTAAAACCCCACTTCAAAGATTTGTTATTCCAACCACGAACCTCTGTAAAACGAGTCCTCCTTACTTTTCTGATTCAAGCCGATCGTTTTTCTAGACTGCCAATCATACAAAATGTTTAATATTAGTTATTTCAAGAAAATATTGTAAAAAAACATAACAAGAAAAGAATTCCCTCCACTCAATATATATCAGTGTTCCTTTTTTACTTAATACAAAAAAAGTTGAGAAATGAGTGTTTTCCTTAATTAAGTCGTAACTTTTTATAAATTTGCCCTCATTGATTACTAACTACTTAAGCAAATCATACTTACATATATAGCAAAACCATGCATATGCTATAAACATCACTACATTACTACATCACATCTTCAACATCATGTTAATTTTAGATTATAATATGTTTATAACAAGTTCATAGGCACAGAATTATCAACAACTAATGAAAAAAGCCAAAACTTGCCATTTTTGTTCAACTTTGGCAACATAGATGTTTTGTTTGCAATAGAAATCCAAATGGGATTACTTGAATAAGAGATTGGGGTTATTTAGAAAAACCTTGAGGATCCGACATTCACATTGCGATGGAGTATCCGACCCGACCCGGCATCATCACTTGATCCGATCAACTCCTTCAAACCGGGATTAATGGATTTCTCTTCCTTATCTCCACCACCACCGTTCACCGCTGCCTCCTCCTCCTGCATCTTTCCGGGCACAATTCTCATTCTCTCGAAATAATTTCCATAAATATACTCTGGATTATACCCATTCTCATCATCAAACAGCATGATATGACCATGCCATTCCCAAACACGATATTCCGAACCCGTTTCCACATGATACCCGACACAAATATGGTGTTCGCCGATCGTCACTGCCTGACCCGAATTGGGTTTTAGGGTTTCATCTCCGTTTCCGCTGAGAATAATTTTGATCACCGCCTTTTCCAGCTTCGATTCTTCTTTGGCGAGCTGGGTTTTGCTCCTCCTGTTGTTTTCTTCATCATCGTCATCGTCTTGATCGTCTTCGGTATCTGAGATGTTGTTCATGGAGTCCAAAAGGAGGTCTTCTAGGGTTTGGTTAAAAAGAGGTGATAACTGTGGTTGAAGAGGATTTGGGGGGCGAATTTGAAGCCTGCCCATTAGGGTTTGAAGGAGGAGGTTATCGAGATTAGATGTATTCGTGAAGGAACTCATCTCAACAGAAGTTTGAGGGTTCAATTCGTTGTTTCTGCGACACTAATTTAGGGTTTTTGAAAAGGTATGAAAAGGAAGAAGGAGATGTGGCAAAGAGAGGGTTTATCAGGTTTATGCAAACTGACGCTAAATCTTTTAGAACAACTCGTGCAATGACAAAAATGGTCCTTGGATTATTCTCTCATCTCCATTTCTAGTCCTTTCGAATTTAATTTCTACACTTGACCATAAACTAAAGTATTCTAATGCAAAAGGTACGGAAAAGGAGGAGATAAGCAAAAGACATTTTTGGTCTCTATAGTTTTAAGACATTTTCTAGAATTACATTTTGGCCCTTGACGTTTTTAGCTTACATAAATTATATTTATGATCCTTGTAGTTTTAATTTTTTGAAATTAGACCTTTGATCCGTATAGTTTTAAATCTGAAATTACATATGAATCTGAATGTTGGTCGTTGTTGATGGAAGCCTCATTAGGGCATGCCCATACCACCTCATTCGTCATTCCCTCATTTTTCGGGTATTTGTGTCACTCTTGGTCAGCCATAAAACATAACACGCCTAACCGATACCCTATAGAATTTCCTTTTAGGTTTCAACGGTACCCTCTTGTCAAACAATACTCCTGAAGCTGCCTTCCACTTTAATCAACTCGTCTTTATTCATTGGGTGAATGTCTCCCCCTTCCTTATGTATCATGGATCCTAGATATTTGAATATCTCATTTGGGTTAAAAGTTTGCACCTCTAAACTTATATCTACTCCTTCTGGCATTCGTCTTGCTAAAATTACACCAAAGCTACTCTATTTTACTGGTATTGATCCTTAACCCTTTCTCTTCTAAAGTCGCCATTTATGTATCCAACTGAGCATTTAACTCAACCATAGACTCAACCACCAAAACAATGTCATCGACAAAATGCATACACCAAGACACTTCCTCTGGATCTCATGATAGATCTCGTTGTTCAAGATCAAGGCGAAAATGTGTGGTTTGGGAGCCGAGTATTGATGAAACCTAATTTCAACCGCTAACGCAAACAACTTTCTGTCGGAACCGACTGAGGTTGCACACAGGTCGATGACAACACCAAAAACAAATTCCCCATATATTCACAATCATGATTTTAGTTATCTAACGGTTTTGTGTAGCCCCAAAGCAGTCACTCTAGAACGAACTCATGTTATTTATCGGTTTTATTCAATGGTTCACGGTTCCAATGAGTTTCTCTATTCTCCAACTTTTATCAAATTCAAGTATTTTCATTCAATTCAGGCCTCGCACGTTTCAATTCAGGGCCTCGCACGTTTCAGTTAAGGTTTGTGTTTGTGTCCTTAAATCAACATTGCTTCTAGATCTTTGAACATACTTGATGATTTATTGTAAATGCAAACAACCATGACTTGTATTTGACTTCTTTTGACCTTTTTCTTGCCGTTGACTCAGTGGTGTATTTATATTTCTCTAAAACTAAATGATTCACTGAAATTCAGCAACATATATCGTTCTTACATGATCAATTTCTAAAAAGAATCATCGTATTCACTGAACAAAATCAATTTATACACCATCAAATTAACAAAAAACAGTATATCAAATTTCAAAGTGCACAAAAACTCCTTCCCTTACACTGTTACACATTGCCAATACATTGAATGGGAAAAAAATATAAAAAAATAAAATAGAATATATATATGTAATTTTTCTTAAGTATTTTTTTCATAATAGTCGTCATTGTCGATGGGATAATATAGATTACACAACATATTATAGGCACACATGGAAATGTGCAATTTTTGCCCAAAAATATAATATAGAACTTGTAACACTTGACTTTATATATGACATCATCATTATATCCTCTCTCCTTTATCTCCTTAAGCTTTCCACAATATAGTCCGCATACAGATCCCTTCATATTATCAAAACAGTCACAACCAAGATACTTTATTTATGTAACTTTTTACCATAATTTTTTTTTATATAAAAAATAGAGAAAATGAGAAAAACTTACATGGAATGTTTGACAACCTCAATAGCCTCAGCAGCTGGCAAGAAATCATTGACCACAACCTCCTTGTTCTCATTCTTCTTGTCTAATTATTACTTGTTAAGATTAACAACAAACAAAATTTTGCATCATGAATGATAAAATACAAATTTCATAATTAAGTTCTGAAAGGATACAGTCTTCAAAAAAGCGATGAATCTCAGCCAATCGATGTGGTGGGAGTTCCTTAATGTCATTATAATGTCTGTACTCAGGATCATCAGCACACACTGCAATTATCTTATCATCTTTCTCTCCCTGATCAATCATAGGCATCACACCAATTGCTTTTGCACGAAGAAAACACCCTGGAAGAATTGGTTCCTGTTTCAACACATCACAAAATGAAAGATATAACAATGTACTTTTTATTAAATCAAAATCAAAAATCAAAATTGTAGTAGAAAGAAAGTAAAGTAGAATACCTGCATGATGACCAAGACATCAAGAGGGTCATTGTCTTCACAAAGAGTACGAGGGACAAAACCGTAATTGTGAGGGTACACAACTGATGAGTATAGGACACGATCCACCTGATAAATCACATATTAGAAAATTAAATTACCCGAAAAAGAATATAGCTCGTGGATTACACCACTAATTTTACCTTGATAAGTCCTGTTTTTTTGTCAAGCTCATACTTTACCTTGCTACCCTTGCTAATCTCAATCACCTGAAAAAAGGTGACAAATTTTATGAGAAATCATTTGTTTTATAAAAAAAAACACCATGAACTGTATTGATTCATGATTCCACAGCCTTACACAGTTGAATATCGTTGGTGCTCCTGGACCTGTATTTGATAATTTACAGAAGTCAGACAATTGAATATAAAATTATGAATCACTACATTATATGAATTTAGGTTTGAATGAATGAGATACCTATTTCAAGATCATGCCAAGGGTGTGCAGCAACTGATCTTCTGCTTAAGGATGAGAGTATTCTTTCATTCAGAGGAGCATGTGAATGGTGATGATACTCGGTGTGTTTGGTTTGAGCCTCAATAGGTGGAGTCATTGTTGTGATCTGCATATGTATCACATGTTACAGATACACAGATTATGAAATAGACTAGATCTCATGAAACTGAAAACAAAAAAAACATAACAGAATGCCAAAAACAATGTTGTGATTAAATGAATCATCTGATATAAGAATATGAATGCTTCAAACATAAACAACCGATGAAGCATACGCCTGAGTATTATTATAAAAGTGAAACTAATGTTGCCTTTTGCCAAATTCAAAGCTGAAAACTTCAAAAAAAATTCACATAAGAAGGTCTGTATAAGCAAGAAGAACACGCTGCAATCTCCATACAGAAGATAGAAGAAACAAATAAGATCAAGCTCATAATCACTTAATGCATTATGCAGGCATGTGTCTTCTGCAACACATTGCCGGATCGAGAGCTTTAGTGATGTAAATTGCAAAATCACGCACACACACACACAGAGAAATCAAAACAAAAGAACAAATCCAGCAAAAACAGCGCTAAAACATCAAATATAAGCCGAATAAATTCGATTTGGACCCCAACAAAAGGTATTCAAAGCTATAATGCGAAGTGATGGCTGTGTAGAAATTAAATAACAGCATCAAATCACCTAAAATCGAACTTCATAAACATTACGCAAGCAAAAGAGTTACAAACAAACCTAAGATGCTCTATGCTCTATGGACTTGACGCTGAGAAAATGAACTGCAGATCTAGGTATTTAACAACAGCAAAATCAAACAGCGTAAGAATCAAGTCAAACATATACATACACATACCTGTATATCTATCGATACAGAGAGAGAGAGAGAGAGAGAGAGAGAGAGAGAACATACCTAAAGAAAGAGAGAGAAAGTAGTGGAAGCAAGCAAGCAGAAGGCGGAAGCTACACGCTGTTGTTGTTCCCGCTATCTCCAGCTTTCGCCATTTAAAGCAAAGGGAAAAAAAAAAGTCTCTAGATACGCGTTTCAAAGGTCGGACTTTTCCGTTACAAAACTGTCTATTTTCCAGATTAATGTCCAAGTGTTGATGCGGGAGGTACAAGTTGTTATGGGATTATGGTTGTGGATTTAGTTGTTTATGATCTGGAAAAGAGGTTCACCGGTTCAAACGGGGAAAATGCCATTTGGAATTATGGAATCGGGAAAAGATACCTGTTGAGAGATGAGAATGAGATACGTGTGTGTGACACGGTGGCTTTCGGTGGTGGGCCGGCGGTGTGGGCCACCGCTACCGTCTTGTCCAACTAGAATAGGGGACTTGTTATTTTGATACGTAGGAATATAAAAAGAAATAATGAATTATTCGTTAAGGAATATGATTTATCTTATTCTTGAAGAGAAGTGTTTTTCTTAAAATAAATAAATAAAAGAATTTTCTGAAAAATTATAATGAAAACGTTTTATTATTTAACTGGTTATAAAACCCGTGTATTATATGGGTTGATTAAAAAAATAAAATAATAAGTATTTTTTAAAATAAAATTTTGAAATAAAAAATATAGAAACATATTAATTGCAATTTATTATAACATTTATTATACTTGATTCTTTTTATATATAAGTATTAGATTATGTGGTTTTATAATTTTAAAATTTGAAAAAAAAAAATTATAAATTGACATATGAGTATTATTTATTTAAAAAAATCATAAAATAAATGGTATCAAATTTGACATGTAGCAAAAAAAAAATTCATTTACTATATATGATTAAATTAATATTTATTTAAAAGTTAAAACTCAAAATATCTTAGTTGAGGCTTTATTTGACAGACTATCAAATAAAAAACGATATTTGATGAAATTAATTGAAAATGTATTTTAGCTATGTACGTATGTAAAATGAAATAAAAATGTATAAAATTAAGTTTTTTATAATTAATAAAGGTTTTATTTGAAAGAATTAAGAAAAACTTAATAAGCTTTTTGAAACACCAATCTAAGTAATTAAAAAGAACCTAGCTTAGTGCATCAACCCTACTTCAAACTCTATTTTTTACTTTACTATAATGTTTGAGATTTTCATTTAAAATTTTCTTATTAATTTATTGACTTTTGAAAAGTCAATAAATTTTAAAAAATGTTTGACACAACTTCTACTTAAAAGACTTTGACGATAATTTTTTAAAACAGGGTTCGTAACTTTTACCGTCTTCCATTTTAGTTTATCATCTTTTATTTTGTTTTAATTGACTATTTAAATGATATTAATTTATCATAAATTTAAAACAAAACATTTATGTATTGAATTAATATAAAATTTAATAAATATGTAAACAAACTAATAATTTGAAGAGTCTTTTGAAAATCTTTTTAAGTTTAGAAAATATTATACTATTACAAATAAATTTTTTCAGAGTAAAAAATAGAATATGGTTGAAAATTAAATACTATTTATTTTAATTTTTACTCCATTTTAAAGTACAAAAACAAATTATAAGCTACTATTTTGTTTATCAAATATGAAATTTTAAAATTTTTCAGAAAAGTTAAATAATTGTAGGGTCTTTATATATATTTTTAATTCATAATGATAATGATATATAATGGTTCATTCGTTTGTTTGTTATCACATTTCATAAACAATAGTAAAACACTGGCCCTCAACGTGAGCCAAGCCGGGAAATAAAAGTCGAATATCATCGTCATTTAGTTTATAAAAGTTCTTTAACTTAAAAAAAATAAAAAAATTATGGTACACTAAATACAAATGTTATAGATT